GGTGTCCTTCCCATTGGAGTCTTCTGGACTTTATTTCTTTTATGATGTTGGCGTCTGGGTAAAGTTCTTCAAGCTCTTTATTAGTTCTTATCCTATATATGTTTTCTGATTTTCTTTCCAAACACGTAGTCTCTCTTCATTTGCCTCTGTTATCGTCCACGTTTCGCTTCCATACATCACAAGGGGTCGTATGATTGTTTTATAGACCTGTATCTTCGTACGTCGTGTTAGTTGTTTTGATTTTATAAGGTTTTTGGAGGGCAAAAATACATCTGTTGCCGGCCTGAATCCTGTTGTTTATTTCTTGTGATCCGTTATTGTCTTCAGTTATTGTTGTTCCAAGATACTTGAATTCTCTAACGCGCTCAAAGTTAAAGTCATCGATGGTAATGTTCTGACCGATTCTGTCTCTGCTTTGGTTATTGCGGCTCATATACATATATTTCGTCTTGTTTTCGTTGATTTGGAGCCCCATCTTCTCTGCTTCATTCTCAAACCTTATAAAAGTCTCCTTCATCCTTAATCGCGTGTTTCCTATTAGATCTATATCGTCTGCAAATGCCAGTAGTAAGTTTGGTCCTTCTCGATGAAATACTGTATTCGGTTTTTCGATTCTTGCACTTCTGATTAATTGCTCCAGAGCTAAGTTGAAGAGTTGTGGTGAAAGTTCATCTCCCTATTTTAGTCCATTGTTTATTTCAAATGTCTCCGAGTATTGTTATCCAACTCTCACCTTACATCGTAACCATTCCATACACATCCGTATCAACACAGTCTGTCCCTACATACTCTATCAAATGCTTGTTTAAAATCTATGAACATCTGATGAAGCTCACGATCAAACTCCCAGCATTTTTCCATTATCTGTTTTATTGTGAATATCTGGTCAATTGTAGAGCGGCCCGGTCTAAATCTGCATTGATAATCTCCAACGATTTCTTCTGTGTAGGTTTTGGTTCTTTCTAGCAGGATGTTTGCAAGGATTTTGTAGGTGGTGTTTAGGAGTGTTATTCCCTGTAGTTAATACATTGCTTTTTGTTTCCTTTTTTGTGTATTGGTACAATAACCCCTTCTTTCCATTCATCTGGCATTGTTTCTTCTTGCCAAATGTCTTGAATTAGCTTGTATATCGAACTGTACTACGCTTCTGCTTCATGTTTTAAGCACTCTGCGGGTATACCATCGCTACCTGGTGTCTTATTATTTTTGAGTTTTTTAATTGCCTGTATTACTTCTTCGTATGTCGGGTATTGGTCTTCTATTTCAGCTGTATGTACCTCTCCATATAAAAACCTGGAAGGAATACTGTAAGTATTCCTTCCAGGTTTTTAAGATTTCCTTGTCATCAGTGATAAGCTGTCCACTGTCGTTTTGAAGAAAGTTTCCTGTTCTTGCTTGGTACCCGGTCTTGATATCTGAAATTCCTTTAAAGAACTGCCTCGCTTGTTTGTTCTTTCTTTTTTCTTCTATATCTCTGATTATTTGTTCCTGATACTCTCTCTTCTTCCTTTCATTAGTTTTCTTGTCTCTGTTCTTCTTTGTCTATACATTTCATTGTTGTTGTGCGAGGGGTTTTGTAGCATGTTCCTTCTAGCCATATTTCTTGCTAATATGGAGTTCAGGCAATCATCATCGAACCATTTTTTTGTTGTTTTCTTGTTGTGTCCTAGTATTTCATCTGATACGCTTGTCAGATCTACTTTGATATTTTTCCAAGCTGAGTCTATGTTGTTATAGTCTTCTGTCTGTGCTAGAGCGATTTTTATAGCCTTTTGAAATTTCTGTTCTGTCTCCTTATTACGTAGAACTTCGGTATTCCATAATTGTGTTGGTGTATTCTTGTGTGTTTTTTTTTTGGACGCTATTCTTGTCCTTATCTTCGCTTTTACAAGAAAATGATCCGTGTCTCCATCAGCTCCTCTTAGGCTTCTTACGTCTAGACAGTTACTACCCCTCCAGGCATCTACTAGAACATGATCAATCTGATTTCTTGTGACGCCGTCGTTGGAGACCCATGTTTGTTTGTGTATATTCTTGTGTTCAAACATTGTAGATTTTATTAGTAGATTGTGGGATGCTGCAGAGTCTATTAGCCTTGTTCCATTATCGTTGCTAACATCGTGAAGACTATGGTTACCTATTGTTGGTTTGTACGCTGCTTCCTTCCCAATCTTTACATTGAAATCTCCTATCTGAAAGATAATATGCATGTCCTGTTTAGGTAAATTATTTATCAGTTCCTCAATAGTTTCTCGTAGAAGTTATCTTTTACATGCTCTTCCTTTTCCTCTGTCGGTGCATGGGCAGCAACTAGGGAATAGTTATGTAGTTGTCCTTTGATTCTGATATAACAAAGTCTTTCATTAACGGGTTTGAAAGTTAAAACTGACTTCACAAGACTTTCCCTAACTATAAAACCAGTTCCGAATTGATGTTCTCGTTCACTTGCGCTGAAAAATACTACTGATTTATTAGTTTTTAGTGTACCTTCTTCAGTCCATCTAATCTCTTGTAAAGCAGTTATGTCTATGTTTCTGGATTCAAGTTCTTTGACCACCTGAGTTAGGGCTCCAGGCCGATATAGGCTTAGTACGTTCCAGGTTCCTATATTCATTGTCCTTTGTCGTCGCTTTTGTCGTCTTAAAAGATCGTCGAGGCATGTGCTTCGTTTTCATAACTGTTTTTTACAAGAAGGAATAGTTAGTCCCTTGCTTAACCCTCCTCTTATGCTTATCAGAAATAGTTCATTAAGAAAAACACCTAATTCAAATAACAAAACAAGGCTCCGAACTATATTTCAGCGACAGCAATTTAACAAATACAACAAATGCTGTTTTTGCATTTGGACAAAAGCCGATGAAAGAAAGCCGACGTAATCATGAGACCAAAGCCTGAATAAAATAACATATTTTCGCAAAACTACAGGAGGATTTTCTTACTTCCAGCAGTCAGTAACATAGACATAGTCATCCTGTCCAAACTTCAAACAGAGGTAGGTGTCCAAACAATTTGGCTTTCAGAGCTCAACACTCCAGAAAACTACAAGTATTTAGACTAACAAAGTATATAACTGATGGATTCAATGAAAATCAACACAGAGGAGCAGTCTTCTGGAGGTAAGCAAAGCCTTTTACAGAGTGTGGCATAACCATCACGAGACTCATCATCTCGTACTTAGGTAACCGGAGGTTCCGGGTCTGATACTCTTTGTACTTTATTCTGAAAATTTGTTTTTGGCAGTGTATTTACAAACGTTCTAATTATTAAGTAGTCAAATATTTGATTTTTATATAAAAGTATTTTAGCAATCTCATATTTGAGATAAGCAAATATTAATAATCTTATAAAATACTTGAATAATATTTTTAAGCATACGATTTATCTTATATTAAAAAATCCAATACCTTATTTATTTAATATAAATATAGAATAAAGAAAACTTCTTCTCATATCTTAATCTCTATTCAGGTGCAAGATTTCTATCGAACCATTAATATGTACCATATTCTTCAATAGTTCTAACATATTTTTTAAGTTCTTTCGTATACCTATCGATGTAATATGCTATGTCCATTCGATGGGTAAATATTCTGCGCTATCATTTAATTATTTGTTCATTGACCAAAGTTGTTACTATTTAGTTTTTCCAATTGCTTCTCGTCGGTTTTATTGAGTACCCAAGTCTCGCCTGTATACATCGCTAGGTTTATTTTCTTAGATATTAGCTTAATTTTCATATTTCTTGTTATATTTTCATATTTACTAAAAATTAAAAATGAATACACGCGCCATCTTTTGTAGATTTTACGTAGTGTCCCGTCCTACTGTGAGTAGTTCGCATCAAATTGTTGACATATGCGTTGATGGTAGAAGTAGAAACCAAATTTTAATAAATCAAAGTGCGTTTGGTATTTAAGGTCAATTCGACCCCAGAGTGTGTTTTTCGTTATATTTGTTCTTGCAGAGAGAAAATTGAATATATATTTTAGATCCATGTAATATAAGAAATACTTTTTCTGTGAAAATGAAACAAAGAAAAATGATTATTTGGAATCACAAACAGTGACAGTGACCATATAGTGAGGCATAGTCTCTATTATTTAATCAAGAGATCGTAGATAATATTTTATTTGTACAACGAACAAACACAAAAAATTAATAAAAGAAACAGTTTGCAGGCTTCCGCAGGGCCGATATAATTGAAATTGGCTTGCTTTAATGAATGTTAAAAATTTGGCAGCACCCGAAAAATGATGTAGGGCAGTAGTATTTTTGCAACATTTTAAGTATTTAGCGTCTTGTTTGCGGTTTAATAATAGAAAATCTCGTTTAGATCGATGATTTATTAAGAATTATCTTCTATTGTACCTATGTATTATCTCGTTAAAATTTGTTCAACTTTTCTAAAACTAAATTAAACAAATCTGTGGATAACAAGTTGATTTTGTTTGTCTCGCCTTTTTATAAGGTAGCTATATGCAATTAGTTACATGACCAGACACATTTATTCCGTTACACGCATATTTGAAGTAAATAAAGATTTTAATAATTTTATTGTGAATTTTTAGCTGCTTTTGTGCATCCCTCCGTTATATATATCAAGATGATGGTATATGATCTAATATATACCTATTAAGAAGCTGGCAAAAAGAGTAAAAACTCATATAATAATATTTTTTTAACAACTTTGATAAATTTCACTTTAAAAAAAATCATTAGTGGCTTAATACACTTAATAAAACATAGAGGGCTACAGACCAGTCGCCATTTTTAGTCCAGCAAATTTATTGAGAAGGCATAATTTATGCGTATATAAACTTAACAAAATTTTTACGTCCCAATGCCAATAAATTATTAAAATTTTACCAATTTTATATTGGTACCTGTATGTTGTTATTTTCTTCAATAGTTTTTTACATGACCTCACGTCACAATTGAACATTGGACAGTTTGACTTTTATATATGTAACGACTCAACGAACAAACGACCAAAATTTAATGGATTAAAAGGAAAGAAGAAGAGTGATGAATAAAATTGAAGTGTAAAATATAAATATAATGCAGTAATTTTTCAAAATTCCATATATTATTAATCAAATCTGATTTTAGATTCTTTCCGTTTGTGTACTAGTTAGTTGTCCGTATATTTAATTTACCTAAATAATGGCGAACATTGCTGCTCAGAGAATTAAACGAGAATTCAAAGAAGTTATAAAAAGTGAAGAGGTTAGAACCTTTTATCATTTAATTTTGATATCATTTTTATACTTAAAGTTGGTATTTAATTTTATATAGGTTTTAAAGGTTTTTACGTGTCTCCATTATATACTTTGAAAATCCAGCTCTAGGATTTTTATAATGTACTTCAGGGTAAGAGGTACTATATCATAATGTTTATATGGCTTAAGAGATGTGAGAACATATAGTTCATAACAATTTCGTCGTGTTTAGGTGATTACAAAAGTAATTTTACTTGGTGTTAACATTTTCTTGTTATCTTATTGCAACTCCTTTGTCTTTAACCATTAAACAAAGTAGTTTGACTTCTTGAGGGTATATGATGTCTGTCCTAATTTTCAAGTAAAAGAACACTCAATAAGCCTTTGAAATGTTACAATTCAGTGAAATTATAAGAGTATGATATGACTGAAATACAATGGTTTTAAAATTGTGAAAAATCTGTCATCTAAGATATGTTTATGAAGGAAAAACATGTAACTCTTTATATATTATGACAGAAAGAAAGAAATGGCAAAAACACATTACTCTTGGCTAAATAATGTAAGAGAGTGGACAGGTGTTGATAGATATTTACTTCCTAAGTTAGTATATATGTGACTAACAACAGTTGTGGTGAAACTATGTAGTAAAACAGCACCTTAGAAGCTAAACATATCGAAGTTGAATGAGTGTTACTCTATGTTCTATTAAAACTATTTTAATATCTTTGATTGTTTTAGGTTGCAAAATGTGCTATTAGAGTAGAACTATTGAATGACAGTTACACTGAATTAAGAGGCGAGATAGCGGGGCCTCCAGATACCCCCTATGAAGGAGGAAATTTTGTATTAGAAATTAGGGTTCCAGAAACTTATCCATTCAATCCCCCAAAGGTACTTTAGCTTTGTAGTATAATGTACAGCTTAAACTAGACTTTTCATATTGTAGTTTTATATGTTTGTATTTCTTTTTAGGTTAGATTTATTACTCGAATATGGCATCCAAATATATCCTCCGTTACAGGAGCTATATGTTTAGATATTCTAAAAGACCAATGGTAAGTGCATAAACATATTAATTTTTTTTATTTAAATGAATGTGTCTAGGTTGCAATGACCATTAACACAAACAATATTAAAAAAATTTATTAAAATAAACAATATTGTGTACGATAATTACAAAAAGCACATGTTACTAATTGCTACAGTTAATCTATAAGCTTAGAACCTGTGACGAAATAATACAACAGTTTTATCACTAAGTTAAAGGTAAGGTAGATGTAAAACAAGGGGTTATATTCTGTTGAACAACTGAATGTCTTTCAAGAAACCAATCAGGTTAAAGACTAAAGATCAGGTTAGTTTAAAATGTCTTTGATATTTGACTTAAGTTTATGTTGCATTCTGTGTTTTGCGTACCAGGGACACTGGTTCACAATGTGTTTCACAGTTAATACACTGAGCAAGATTTGACAATTGGCTTCGGCTCGAACTTCATTAAGTATTCATGTGTGAGTCGGGTATATCCTATTCTTAATCTTCGGATGACAGCTTTTTCTTTTCTAGTTGGAAGTTCAAATTTTTCAACAGTCTGTCAGATCTCATGTAATGCACTCTTGATTGTGTTCCAGTGGGTTTGCTAGATATGATACTGTTGTTGCTTGAATATTTGCTTTAGGTCATTACGGATTTGATTATGTTGGGCTTTTGAGGATTGACTGTTTACACAAGAAGCTTGCTTGGCTGCTTGGTCTGCTTTTTCATTACCTGGGATGCTGATATTAAATTCAATACCATCATCATCCAGCCAAATTTTTCACATCCATTGTTGGATATAGGCCTCCTCCAAACGTCTCCAGTTCTCTCTATCTCTAGCTGCTGCAATTAGCCATGGAAAATACAGTTACTTTGTAGTAATAGGTTCCATCGTTCCGGTGACAGACAGGTAATAGGTTCCGGTAACCTATTACTTTTGTCACCTATTACCAGTAATCATAATATAATATATATTTTTCAATAAAAACGAATACTTTCTACTGTTTATAGTTTATTTTTGATTCAACCGTGAGTGATAAACATTATGCATACATTTGATGGTTGTTAAAAATAAACATTAAACATATACAGCTGACAGAAATTTAAAAATAGATGATTTAACTACTATACTATAACAATTTATTGTGTTGGAATATCGGGTATGCGGTCTGTTACTATTAAAAAAAAAACTCTTTTTTCTTTTAATCATCTATATTTCGCTGATTTCAAAACAGTACTCTAGAGTACTGTTTTAAACAAATTATGTTCAACAACTTGTTTAAATACTTTCCACTCTAAATCTTTGTCTCCTGATGAAGCTGACAAAAAATCAGCGAAATATAGAGGATTAAAAGAAAAAAGAGTTTTTTTTTAATAATAACAGACCGCATACCCGATATTCCAACACAATAAATTGTTTTTTACGTTTCGGTCGATAATCTTACCAGTTTTGCTATATATATATATAATATATATATATATATATATATATATATATATATATATATATATATATATATATATTAAGGCGAGAGAAAAAAATATTAGTGTATAAGATTATTCTATTTTATTTATAATCTTTTTTGGTTGTGAAATATGTAAATGATCGAATACGGTGGTGTTCCCAGCTATTTAAGTGGCAAAACATAAAGCCCATCATAAATTTGGTGACAATGACCATCCTATTCTGTTACCTATTAAGCTACCGATTACCGATATTGTCACGTCAAAACACCAAATGCCGATTCGAATACCACTAATACCAGTGCGTTTTACGTTACAGTAACACTGTGACAAAAGTAATAGGCAGTTTGCTGTAACCTATTATTTAGAAAACGAATACTTATTGGTAATAGTGTTATTTATCCGAATACGTTATATAACGCCCATCTTTAGCTGCAATTTAGTTTGCTTCTATTCTCTTTAGGTCGTCGGTCCATCGGGTGGGTGGTCTGCCTCGACTTCGCTTGTCGGCTCTTGGTCTCCACTCCAATAATCTCTTCGTCCTTCTTCCGTCTTCCATTCTAGCAACATGTCCAGCCCACCTCCACTTTTGTTTATTGATTCGCAGTATAATATCGTCTACGCCAGTTCTTCGGCGTATCTCCTCATTTCTTACGCGATCTTTCAAGGTCAGGCCCAGCATTGATCTCTCCATTCGCCTTTGTGTTACCCTCAGTTTTTCGGCAGTAGCTTTCGTTAAAGTTAAGGTCTCTGCTCCGTAGGTCAAGACTGGTAAGATGCATTGGTTAAATGCCTTCCTTTTCAGGTGAATTGGGATATTTGTTTTAAAAATGTTTCTCATCCGTCCATATGCCGCCCATCCCAACGTGATTCGTCTATTTAGCTCGCAGGTTTGGTTGTCTCTGGTTATTCTAATTTCATGACCCAAGTATGTGTATTTATCGATTAATTCTACCTTGTTGTTATTGATCTGTATCTCTTCGCTGGGAACCATATTGGTCATCATTTTGGTTTTCTCGAAATTTATCTCCAGCCCAGTTTCTTGTAGTATGTCATTCAGTTCTTGGAGCATGTCTTTGATCTCTCCCAGATTATCTGACAGAAGCACGATATCGTCCGCAAAACGTAGATGGTTTAATCTTTCTCCATCGATGGATATTCCTTTCTGTTGCCATGTTAGTCTTTTAAATGCATACTCAAGAACGGTAATGAACAGCTTTGGTGACATGGTATCACCTTGCCTGACTCCGCTTTTTATCTTTATTTTATTAGTTGCAGAATATAGACTTATGGTTGTTGTGGCATTTTCATATATATTTTTAATTATATTACAATATCTGTGGTCGATCCTGCAATCTTGTAGTGCTCTTAAGATGGACGGTAGTTCCACTGTATCAAACGCCTTTTTAAAGTCTAGAAATATCAATGCCAAGGGACGGTTATATTCGTTAGTTTTTTCTATTAGGGTTTTTTTTTTCTATAGAAATAGAAATAGAAAATTCGATATAATATAGTTTAATTTATAAACAGAGCTGGTAAACTCAGGTAGTTAAAATTTTACCAGTGATCTGTTTGATTGATTGTTTAAGTATAGACATTAAAGGGTTTTATAAATATTGTAAAAGATCTTAGACCACCAAGTAGTTAATAAAAGAAGTGTATTGCTAAACTGATGCTTTTTGAAATATGTACACAAATATTGTTAAATTGGTGTTATTTTTATTTATAAAAATTTTTGTCTTTGTGACTGATCAACCAACAAAAATTCCTTTGTTATTTGTAAGTGAACTGGACTTGTGTTGGATGCTGATTGGTTTTGTATATATGTTTTGTAAGGATATTAGAAATAATTATTTTCAATTTAGTCGAAAAGAAGTTGTTAAATGCATATAGAAGCTGTAATGGAATGTTTTAGGTTTAAATATATACAAATATTCTTATAGGAGTCTTTTGTTACTAGCTAATGTTTGAATCTTAGTTCTGACTGTATATAAAGTTTTTTCCTAAAACCAAACTAGTGAAGTGATTTCATTTTTACAATGTTGAGTACTGTATGCATTTTAGTATAAATTAATTTTATTTAAGGATTTAATTAGCTATTTTTGGATAATTTGGCCAACACTTGCTACTTCTTAAGGTTTGGTAGTACTTAACAACATATGTTGATGAGAAAATCTATTCAGATATTGAATACTAACTTTGGCTTAAAAATAGTATGAGTTATCTGTGTAAACTTTACAATGAATACATGTATGTTGCAAAAAAGTGTCATATTCCTACAGGAGATTCTTTTTGTTGTTAACTAATGTCTAAATATTGGTTCTGATTAGATGTAAGGTTTTTTCTTCAAAAATTAAAAACTTTTTTAAAGTGGTAACAATACTGTAATATTAGCATTGTATGTATTTTAAAATGATCACATTATCTTGTAAGTATTTCTTTTGCTATTTTTTAATAATCAATAACGTCACTATACTGCTTTTCGTTGTTGCTTTTATCTTAAATATGCCCATATTCGTACATTTTTTCTTTCATTTGTTGAGTGCTGCTACGAGTTATATAATGAATAATGTTGGGGATATACAGCATCACTGTCCTAGTCCTTTAGTCACTTTGAATCCCAGTGTTAATTCTTGTTGTTTGTTGATAGTACAACGTTTTTACAGCTTCAATAAATTCTATATTTATATTTGTTTTCCCTAGTGCCTCCCATAATTTATCAAGCGGGACACTATCCTATGCTTTCCTAAGGTCTACGAACGTCAGGTGGACTTCTTGGCCACGAGCAACTTTCTTTTCAATTATCTGAGTAATAAAGAAGACATGGTCCATTGTAGATCGACCTGCACGAAAACCAGCCTGTTCTTTGGCTTTCATATCTTGGTATTCTTCTACTTGATTTTTTTTATTATTTTCCCATATATTCTGCTGATACTACTAGTAACTGCAATTCCTCTATCGTTTTCAGGTTTCGATTTATCTCTCTTTTTATGGATGGTGCTCATATGCGATTCTTTCCATTCCTCAGGTATTTCATGTTTATTTATGCATTCCTGGAAAAGTTGTAGCCATTGAATTAGTATTTTTGGTCCATGTTTGATGAGTTCCGGAGCTACATTTCCTGGGCCAGGTGATTTGCCATTCTTTAGATGTCTGCATACGGTTTCGACTTCTCTCTCATTTATTCTGATTGGTGATCCTACCAGCCTGACGCCTTGTAGACCATAGTTTTCTAGCTGTTTGAAGGACTCTCTTGTCTCTGTTAGTAAATCTTTAATTTAGTCTTCCCATATTCTTCCCAAGTTTGCGGTGATATGGACTGGATAATATCTCTTTTTCTGTTGTTTCTTAAATTTTTTAATATTTTCCAGCTTTCTGAACTCTGGCTTCCACCAATGTATATATTTAGCATGGTGCACTTTTTTCCCAGGATTCATTTTTCTTTTGGCATATTTTTATTCTGACCATCGCTTGCATCCTTTTGTATTCGATTCTGTCTTCCACATTTCCTGTGTTCAGTAATTTTGATACAATTTTCTTTTCTGTGTTATTTCCTGCGAAATAGCTTGATTCCACCAATATCGTTTTTAATTACTATTTATAACTGGGAATAAGCCGCAATTAAAGATAAAAATACGTTTATTGACGTTTCAATTTTCAATTCGGAAATCGTTCTCAAAATACAAACAGTAAATTAAACAAATTTTGTTTTTTGTTACATAGTGAAAAAATTCTTCTAATAATTTAATTTTATCTGACTCATTTATATTGACAATTCAGACATACATTATGCATTTTAAAGTAGACGACTTTAAAATGATATTGCCAATATTGTCGAGTTGCGCTCCTGGGACGACTTTACTTATAAGATAGTTCATTCGATTACATGAAATCAACTTTAACTTGAGAATATCCGTCAGAAAAAATCATAGCATGTAATTCGTCTTTAAAAAGACAAACACATGACATGATGACAGTAAAATTCTCCTGTTAGTGATTCCATAGTAAATTATGAGGGAAAACCAGGAAAAAAACCTCATAATACTATCCCGACATTGTAAGTATTTGTTCGTGAATTTAGTTTACCTTCAACAAACATCAAAATTCTGATTTTATATGTTACGTTATTTAAAAAACATAAATGATGTATCCTCTATATGTTACTGACTTACTAATACTGGTATTTTCTTATTAATAACTTCCTCTTTCAATATTGGTAACCAGATCCTACTACATTCTGCCGAGGAATTTGCGACACAATTGGCCTCGTTTAGCATAATTAGAGCCGCTTCTTTGATTTTTCTTTTTTTACCATCCGTTTCTTTTAGGACTATATTTGAATTATTCCATTGAACCATATGTTCATTATCCCATGCGTGTTTACATATTTGAGATCTATCAAATTCTCTATTTTTAATATAAGATTGATGTTCACTTATTCTAACATTTAATGGCCTTGATGATTCACCTAAATAAAACTGATCGCATTCACAAGGTATTTTATAAATGCAATTCTTTGTCCTTTCTTGTTCATTGTTAGGTTTGGTTTTGGACAAAATAAATCTCAACGTGTTTGTTGTTTTGAATGTTGTTGAAATGTTGAATTTATTTCCTATCCTTAAGTTTTTCTGATAATCCTTCTATGTACGGTATTGTTATTTTCCTCATATTATTCCTTGTGTATGCTGTAGGATCTCGTTCTAAGTTGTTTTGTTCTATTCGATCGATTGTTGAAAATTCCTTATTTATAAACGATAAAGGATAATCATTTTTTAATAAAACAGATGTTAACAAATGTTTCTCCTCCAAGAACGAATTTTCGTTAGAACAAGTAATTTTGGCTCTATCGTATAAGGATTTAATTATTCCCTTTTTTACATTAATATTGTGATTTGATTTGAAATTTAAATATCTATTGGTGTGGTGTTGGTTTTCTATATACCTGAGTCTCATATTCAGTATCGTTCTTAGAGATTAAAACATCCAGGAAAGGTAGCGTGTTATTATATTCCTTTTCCATGGTAAATGTTATTGTCTCTTCTTTATCGTTTATATCGTTTAGGAATGTGTCCAACAACTCTGATCGATGAGGCCATATTGAGAATGCATCATCTACATACCTCCACCATACTGTGGGTTTGAAATTTTGTTTAGAAATGATATTTTGTTTCAAAATCTTCCATAAATATATCGGCTAAGAATGGAGATAAACTAGAGCCCATTGCTAGACCAAAATTTTGTTTATAGAATTCATTATTTAGTTGAAAATATGTATTATCAGTACATAATGTTAATAACTCCATTATAGCCGATATTATGTTTAGTCTTGTTCTAGTTGCCAATGAATCATCACTCTCTAATTTTGTCTTGACTATACTCTAAGTCTTATTTAATGGCACATTCGTAAATAAACTATTTATGTCAAAACTTACCAAAATATTATTTGAATTAAATTCAATATTTGATAATTTATTTAAAAAATGTTGTGTATTTTTTATGAATGTGTCATTTTTATTTGTATAAGGTTTTCAAATATTTAATAAAAATTTTGATAGTTCACTACAAGGAGAATTCATGGTACTACAAATGGGTCTAAGTGGTATATTCGTTTTATGAATTTTCGCTACTCCATAAAAATGAGGAGTCTTACTGTAATGAGGTGTAATTAATCCTCTCTGATAACTTGTTAAAACATCTTTAAACTTGAATAAAGTTCTATATATTTTGTTTACCAAAGGCTTTGTTGGATCTTTTGTTAATTTTGTATAAGGTCCGTTTATTAATAGATCTTTAATTTTATTTTCGTATTGAATTTTATCCATTATCACAGTTGCATTCCCCTTGTCTGCTGGTAGGATGATTATGGAGTCGTCATTTTTTAAAGTTCTTATAGCATTTAGTTCCTCTTTGCTTATGTTTTGTTCAATTTTAGTAGATTTTTCCAATTCAAGTTTACATAATACTCTGTATTCTTCCTTTTCGTGGGTTGGTAAGCATTGAGATATTTTCTCCACTGAGCTTATTATGTCTAATTATAAATATTCTATAATTCTTCCCAGTTATAAATAGTAATTAATTTACAATGCCACAAGAAAATAGCTTCAGAACAATAATATGGTTTTTGTTGTCCGATCTTTTCATATCTCTTCATTCTTTGATGGTTTTGTATAACTGATTAACATTCCTGATATTATCTTCCGTTTCAATTAGTTTTTGTTCCAGTGTACGTTTATATAGGTTTCTAACACTTTCTTGGTATGGTACGGAGTACGATACAATTTTCAAAATCACACAGCTTAAAAGTATCGTCTGCCCCGTCTCAACAATTTTGATTATATACTTAAAATTAAATTTTTCTCTCCAGTCAGGTGCTTCCCTTTGACGTTTAGGTACAAATCAGCGCTTAGTCGCTGTTGTTTTATCTTTTATGTCACAGCAGCAAGAAATTCTTAATTCAATTTCTTTTGTATTTGTCATTTTCTTTTCTATACTCTTTCTCTCTCTAAATAGATATTTATTTGTTTATCAAATATATTGTTTAATTCGTTTCTTGACCTTGTTTTGTGATATTTTTCAAATTTCACAGTAGCATTTTTTTTACGCATATAAATATAAATAATATAAAGATATTAAATGTTTCTCGTGCTTTTAGATATGTCATAAAATGGCCAAATAAATTATTTTTTATTGTTGTTGATTGGGATTATTTTAAATTAAAAAATATATATTGTTAATCACTAGCCATTATCGGTTTTGTTTGTATTGAGGTTGCTAGGTCATGCAGCGATTACAAATCATTGGGCTTATAAATTTTGATTCTAATAATAGCATACAAATACCAGGTGAATTATATCATGATATCATCACATTGGATACTGTATGTTTTCAAAGGTCTTCTTCATGTCTGTAGAAGAATATTCGTCATGATTGTGGTAATTTTAACTTTATTTACAGTTACTCAAAATAAGAACTTAATAAGAGGTTATAGAGCCGGGAAATACCTTGTATTTCTCGTAATGTCTCGTACCAAACCCTTTAATAACCAACTGAAGTAAACCACATTAAAATAACCACAGACGGCACTTAAAGAAGAAGTTTCTAACCAAAAATTGGGATCTTTACCACTGCTTGGTCAGTTGTAAATGTGTGTACATTGTTGCCAACTGTGAATATTGAAAAATGTCACAATTATTCCATTAATTGACAATACTGTAATTCCCTGGAGTGCTTGTTCTGTGATGTTTTCCCTAGAATGTTTTCACTGAAAATAACAACTACATTTTAAATAATTTGTATTTAATATTTAGTACAAACGTTAATATTGACTTTAGGGCTGCTGCTATGACCTTACGCACCGTTCTGTTGTCCTTGCAAGCTCTACTATCTGCCGCCGAACCGGATGATCCTCAAGATGCTGTAGTCGCTAGGCAATATAAGGAGAATCTGGAAATGTTCACTTTAACAGCAAAACATTGGACACATGCTTATGCAGGAGGTAATTTTTATTTTTATATAATTACGAGTGGATAATTGAGTGAGTATTTTACTCTCATTCAAACGTTACAACGAAGCTGTAACTTCGCTCTACTAAGATCTCTTAAAAATATAATACTTTTGTTAACAATTTTCATTTTTTATTACTTCTAATTTTGAGAAAATACGGTATAAAATATCGTGAGTTATGTTTTGAAAAAATAAGATATAAAATAAGATAAATAAGAAAAAATAAAGGACTTCGTTAAAAGGAAGAAATTGGTGAGATATTTAGTAAGTTTTTAGGTGTAAATCTAACTTTTGACAATTTTCCTTGTATTTTTGAAACAACATCTAGCAGTGCGATCTTAAATGAAACTTATTTTCACGTGTAGGAATTTGGAACGAAGCAAAGTTGGAAAAAATCTTAATTTCTAATTTTTAGTAGTGTTTGAACTAACATAAAATTGCACTTGAATCAAACTAGACCAGATAATAAAGCAGTAGACACCCCAAAGCCTTCCAAATTTTTGCAGCAGTATGGATCTTAATGAAACTTGCTGCATTTGGTTCGTATGAGTGTCAGTAAATTTTGTGAACAAAAATGACGATGTGGAAAATAAAATTACATTATTGAACAAAGAAATGCAAGTGTTCCGCGAACATAAAATCCCCGAGTTATGAGTTTGCACTGATTTTGTATCGAATCTACACAAAATTCTAAGAACCGAGGTTTTCCTGTGTCCCATGTACCTCACACACTATCACCGACATGATATTAATGTCCATTGATCCCAAAAACCACCTAGTAACGAGTTTGCACTTATTTTGTATCGAATTTCCACATAACTCTATAAGAAGAGGTCCGTTCTCGGCACTAGGTGCCTCGCACATTATTGCCGATAGGATATTGATGATCAACGAATCCAAAAAAACACCGAGTAATGAGGTTATACTGATTCTGTATCGAATTTTCACAAAACTCTAGGAACCGAGGCCGTTTTGGGCACCAGGTGCCTCGCACACCATCGCCAACAAGATATTAGTGTTCAGCGAATCCAAAAAACCACTGAGTAACGAGTTTTCACTTATTTTGTATCGAATTTCCACAAATATCTATGAGAAGAGGCCCGTTCTCAGCACTAGGTGCCTCGCACACCATCGCCGATATGATATTAGTGTTCAGTGACCCAAAAAATCACTGAGTAATGAGTTCGCACTGATTTTGCATCGAATTTTCAAAAAATTCCAGGATACAATGCCCAGGTGCACCAGGTGCCTCGAAGAACATGGTCATCACTTTGGAAAATGTATTTTCGTTGATCAATAAAGCCATTTTCATTTCCACATTATTTTTGTCCACAAAATTTCCTGACGAGTCATACGAATCGAATGCAAAAAGTTTCATTGAGATCCATCATACTGCAAAAATTTGGTAGGTTTATTGCTTTATTGCCTCTCCTAAACGGAAACTGGTGTTTAACTGGAATACCATTCAATGTGAATGGTTCCACAGTGACTACGATTCCATGAAGAAGTTAATAAAATGTCTGTACTGGATTGGCAAGTGCTGTCCTTAACTACATTTATTGAAGCTGGCTTTGAAAGACGCGAAAAATCTGCCATAACATTTATAGATCTCACGGGTGCCTATGACACTGTGGGGAGAGAGGGCCTTATTTATAAGCTGATGAAAATCATACCTTGCCTCAAACTTGTCAGCTGATAAACAATCTACTGACTAACAGACTGTTTCAGGTATATATGAATGATGTACAGAGTAACGTTAGAAAACTTAACAACGGCTTACCTCAAGGCTCAGTGCTAGCTCCTTTATTATTTAACCTTTATACAGCAGATATACCTGAAACAAAATCGAGAAAATTTGCTTATGCTGACGACCTGGCCATTGGCTTCCAAGATAATAGTAAAGAAGCAGGAGAACGAGCTCTAAACGAGGACTTAACTACACTAAGTAACTATTTTAAGAACTGGCGCTTACGTCCTAATACAAGCAAAACTGAAAACCTGTCTCTTTCACCTGTCGAATCAACTTGCGGGCGATACTCTCAGTGTAACTCTAAATGATACAGCTATTAAACATAACAACAACCCCAAATATCTAGGCGTCACACTTGATAGAACACTCACCTTCAAAAGCCATCTTACAAACGCAGCCGGTAAACTAAGAAAAAGAAATATCTTAGTATCAAAACTTGCTGAACAACTTGGGGTGCTTCTGCAGAAACTCTTCGGACCTCTGCTCTAGCTTTGGTTTTTTCAGTGGCAGAATATTGTGTACCAGTATGGCTAAATAGTGCACATACAAGCAAAATCGATGTCCAACTTAACCAAACCATGAGATTAATCACTGGAACAATAAAACCAACGCCAGTGAGATGGCTGCCTACTCTGAGCAATATGCTCCACCAGATCTACGCCGTACAGCAGCATTAGTGAGAGAGTACCAGAAAATTGTAGCCAACGTACAATTACCAATACATCAAGATATCCCAGACATCTCAAAAGAGCACCAGCGACTGAGATCCAGAAATCCTCTAATACGATCTGCCCGAAAACTTGGTAATTCCTATGATATACATAGGCAATGGACAACAAGATGGATGCCAACAGTAGAATCGGACTATATTAAGATATCCACCCCAACTCAGGGTTTCATCGGATCAAATCTGTCCCGGTCCACTTGGCAAGGCTTAATCGTATACGTACCGGTCATGGTAAATGTGCTGATTGCAGACAATCTAGACAGACCATAAACCATTGTGTTTCAGACTGCTTGAATCGTGCCTACCGTGGAAAACTCTAGGACTTTGCGGAATGTTCCTCAGAAGCAATTGAATGGCTATGTAAATTGGACATTAATATTTAGTGTCATTCATTATATCTTTAGTGTTTGAATAATATATTTAATATTTATGTATATATTATTGTATTTGTATATTTGTCGTAGTGTGAAAGTCCATACGCTAAATAAATAAATAACTGGATTGGCAGTCTGCATGATTCTAGTTGCACAGGACTAACATGGACCGCGCTTTACATATCGTTGGCTGTATGCAATAGTGACTTAACTCAAAAATTGACAAAATTTAGTCAACATCATCAGAGGGCTTGAAAAAGCCTTTTGAAAAAAGGTTAAGATAAATTGTTTCTTGTAGTACTGGCCCTTTTTAGTTGTGCAGTGGACGTTGAATCGTGTCGATATCAAGTTTCTATGCAATACCGGCACTTTTGAGTTGTGCCACTCCAGCAGACAATTTTAGGTATTTTCAAACTTTATCAGTGAGAATTTTGAAGTTGTATCACAATAAATAAAAGGAATAAATTTATTGTTTTAAAAATGTCAGATCCAAAGGGGTATCAGAAAAGAAGTGAATTAATCTTATCTCGAGTAGGAGTAACGCGAGTAAAAAAGGATTAAAAAGCATGAATATTATAGAACTAGAAAAGGGTTACACTGACAGCCTGCCAATAACTGAAAAGGAGAAAAATGACCTTACTAGCCTTTATGAAGATATGAGTATTCCACCAATTTACGCTGATTTCTACCGACATTTAAAGCATTGTTAATCATACCTTTTCCTATTATTATCAATATATACTTTATTTATTTCGATCTTTTTATAGTGGTTAATAAACACATTTTCTCACTCAAGTAACTTGTAGTATCCTTTATTGAACCTTTATTTCAGTTCATAGGAATGACAAAAAATGCCAGTTTTGTCTTTGTCTTAATTAGTCTTGAAAGACAAAATGTTGATGTGCAATAGTGGCACAACTCAAAATAAGGTTTGAATTTAAAAATCTATGTTACGATTCATTAAAGGCTATCTAAATCGCTCCCAAATACACCAATTTTTTTTTAAATCCCAGTCCATGTACTAAAACAAATAAGACAAAATTATTGGCACACCCCTTTTTTTTTGAAAAATTACCAGTTTTTGTGTTATGCCACTATTGCATACAGCCGACGATAACTTATATTAACATTATTTACATTTCCAGGTCCTTGCGTGATTAGCGATTGTGATGAAAAAATTAGACGACTTATAGATATGGGAATAGAAGAACACAAAGCCAGGGTGTCGTTGTCATCTTATAATTGGGATTTAGAAATGGCTACGGAACAGTTATTCAATTAGTAAATCACCTTAATTTGCGTTACGGTCAGCGATAATTATTAGTTTATAAAAATTTTTCAATTTATTTTCAATTTCTTTGTAATATATTCTAATTTGTCTCTGTACGTTATTTTTATTACCTGGGATGGGTCTATTTAGACAATCATTGAAAAAAAATGTCGTTGGAATTGGAGAATAATGTCTCTTAACAGAAAATTTTTGAGAGCAACTTAAGACATTGTAGAATTTACAATCTGGAGATACACCCCTATTCCATTTAAGAGAAAATAGATTTCTAGGTCATTACAGTACAGCCAACTGTTTATAATTTGCTTAAATTGGCAAATATTTCGAAACCTAAAGTGAAATTCACACTGAGAGTGGAGTACGGTCAAAACAGGAGAATACTTTTCTTATGGAGAATAAATGCAGTGTTGTCGGCCCTCGCCTGCTGTTGATTGCTCACTTACGAGCATTGCACAGGACCGGCCGGCGTGAATAAAATATATCTCCCGGTAGCACAAATATAATATTCCGTATTATGTATACAGGAGAATAAAAAAGTTTTGAATACTCTACAAAATGCATAAATATCTTTGAAAGTACAAATTTTTTTTCGAAGCTTATTAAACGATTTATTCAAAATTAAATAATCGTAAGAGTTACATTTCTTTTGTTAAAGGTTTCGCTGCAAATTGTAACGAGTCCGTTACTTTAATAATCCTTAAATATTTTTAAATCAAATCCTCTTAATGATTTTCTAAATTCTTAAAATTTAAGTTGGTATTAAATAGCGACACCAAGCGTTCAGGTCTGCAACCATAGTTTAGTTGGTTCAAAAGTAGCGACTACTGATCACTTCTGTTTCGACTTTCCTAAAAGGCATTTAAGTTTAAAGGTAGGAGAGAGAGGCGGCTTACAAAAGGTTTTTTTTGAAGTTTAAAGTTTTTATTTATGGAGAAGAAGTAATAGAGAAGTTTTAGTTTGGGGAATTTTACGTCCCGGCCTTAAAAACATAGGTAATATCGTTAAAAATAATCTGTCTTATACTGTTCTTTATATTATAAAATATATTATTATCCATATCATGCTTTTCGTTAAAAGTGTCGATATAATTAATCCATTTTACTTGAAATATTGTCAAACCATACGACGGTCAATATATCTACAAAACCATTCAGTTTTTTGCTTTCACACTTCATAAGTAACCTTTATAAAACCTTTCAAGGTTCATAAACCTTGTGTTTTTTCCCCTCTCTGTCTCAAGAATAAGAAAGAACTCTAAAACAAATGTTTTTTAGCCTACTTTGGGAGTCAAACAGAAGTCGGGTGAAGAATTTTTTGCTTTTGTTTTTTTTTGGAATAATTTTAAAGAAGAAGGATTAAGTTGAAACCTAGTCCGGTTACACCTGGTTCCAGGCCTGTTTTTTTCTTGCCGTAGCTGCTCCCCAGAGGTCCAGATCTAACCTCTGATTGCCGAACAATTTTTAAGAAGTCAGCGGAATTATCTCCCTTTAAAATATAGTAAACCTGGATTGAGTTTGTTTATTAGCTTTAATTTTTTTATATATAATATTTTTTGTTTTGAACGTTTAATCATACTTTTTTTGCTTAATAATATAAAGAAACCATCATTTTTTTTTCCTGAAATAATACTTAATTATAGTTAGAGACTAACTAGGTTGAGGTCTTAAATCCTCCCTGTTAACTCATTTGTATGGTTCATGTGTACACATTTAATCAGAGAGTTATTTTTTTAAAGATTTTATTATTATAAATTTAAACGTTTGGACATTTATGGTCGTCAAGCTAGTGTCCTTATTACTTGTTACAATTACATTCAATTGAAAGCCAAAATACAGAGTTGCATCTCTGAGGCAAGTAAATTACCTTTTTAGGTCAATTATTACCATTTTTTCCCATATTTTATTATTTGTAAATTTAGATCATCAAGGATCAGTTGGGTATAACCAGGGCATTTATTTTTTGTATATAATTAAGTTAACTGTACATAATTGGTGGTGGGAATTTTAGGATAAATTTATATTGTATATATTTGGCTAGGGATTAAAGTTTTGGTGAAAATTAAATATTTCAATTCATACCTATATCCTTATTTTATTTCAGCACATAGCTTTACAAGATACCTTGGAAAGTTTATGTAAATACTTTCCTGCGCCCACTCACATTTTGGAGCAACTTCTATAATCACTTTTATTTATCTTAGTTATATTCCTATAGGTTTTTGTATAACCTTGTCATTCATTTTCTTATTCTACGGTCTCTGTAGGGCATGCAAATTGGCCGAATCCTCCTTTGAGTGTCAAGTAGTCACTCTCCGGCAACTTCTGCTAGCCAGCTTTAAAATTATATGTTATCTTTTAACTTTACCCCCAATACTACTCGTGTTTCATTGCATACACAATTTTTGTTATATTCCTACACATTTTTTGTTACAAAATTTACTATCATTAACACAATTAGCCTAATATGGCCATAAACTAAGAAACGAGCAAAATGAAATATTACGTAGAGACGAGTTAATACAGGTCATCGAAGAATTTTACGAGGAATTATATGGAAGTAGACGAGAAGATCAAACAGGAATACAAACTGCCATTTCAAAGATCATGAATCAAGGTTCCGAATTAATGCCAGAAATAAAGATAGATGAGATTCGACAAGCGTTAAGAAAAATAACAAAGCCCCAGGAGAGGGAATTGTAATAGAAACTATCGTAAATGGAGGAGATATCCTATTAAGTCAATTAAGGAAACTGTTTAATCTATGTTTGCATCAAAGAGAGGTGCCCAAAGAATGGAACAATGCTACAATGCCATCCTTTTGCATAAAAAAAAGAGATATAACAGACCTAGAAAATTGTAGGAATATTAGTTTGTTGAACCACATATACAAGCTCTTCACTAGATTAATGACATCAAGATTGGAGAAAAAATTTGATTTCTACCAACCGAGAGAGCTGGCAGGATTCCGATGAAATTATGGTACCAATGATCACCTCCACACAGTAAAGACGCTCATTGAAAAATGTATAGAATACAACAAACCTCTTATCCTCACTTTCTTAGATTTTCATAAAGCGTTCCACACGATCGAAATAGACAGCCTTATTCGCTCCGTGCGTGACTGACGCGACACCTACCGCCTTCATCATCTGACAGTTTTGGACCTCCCAATTTTCAGGTTAAATATATGTTTGGCATTGTTAAATACATGCGAATTGACAATTACAGTAAAACCTGCTTAATTCGAACTCTCGTTAATTCGAATTTTTTTTCTGGTCCCTATCAATTTCCTATATAAGTAATATTAAAAGTCGTGGATAATTCGAACTTTTCTACAAGTTAAAAATGCCAATTTCATGCTGGGAAATTCCCGCAAAAAGAGGTAGTATTCTTTTTCTGTTCTAACGTGCCACTTGGTTTCAAGGCCATTGTACCCGTACCTGCACCTAAATCATCGAGTTAGAATCTATGGAGAAGCTATGAGCATATTAACGTATGTATTAAAAACGGCATAGGTAGGAGTGGCTAACTATAATGCCAATATGGCGGTGACATCAGGGCCAGACTCAATAATAATAAAACTACTATACAAATATGACTAGTTATTCAGAAGATTTAATCATAATCTAAAAAGTGCAATACAATTTTTAATAAACTATGATTTATTTTATCCCGCGGTAAACACTTAAAAACACGATATATATACATAAAGATAAATTAATACAGTCAAATAGTATTTAATTTATTCTCTGAAGTACGGGCCCATTACTTTGTTTACATATTTGTATACTAACCTGTGAACGATATTCTAGAAGATTTTTTATTAACATTACTTCTGCTACTGCAACTACGTTGAGAACAAGAAAACCATTATTATGCACTATCACAATATAATTACAGTTTCTATAAAATTATTATAAAACTGAAAATATTCGAAAAACAACAAATATAACCAACATATACGATCTGTCAAAAGTTTCAAAACAATAATACCAATATGGCCGAAGTTAGGTCGTTTTTAGGTCACGTGATGCCCTACTCCATAGATTCTAACTCGATGACCTAATTCTAGCCCATCTGGCACGCCCCTTCAGTTGAGATGCGTTGGCGTTGCAATTGCAATCACCGCAAATCACGTCAAGTCACTTCGTATTGAGTAAAGATGTCGCATGGTAATAAGAAAACATACAAAATTTTAACGTTATCGGAAAAAATAGCGACAATTAGAGAAGTAGAAAAGGGGACGAAGAAAAAATCTGAGATTGCCAGGGACTTTGGATTCCTCCTAACACATTATCCACCTACTTGAAGAATAAAGAAAAAAATCTCAACAGTGAAGTGAGTGCGATTAAAGATCGAAAAAGGTTAAGGGAGCCAGAAAATCCAAATTTAGACAGTTTGTGTGTTAAAATAGTTCAAACAAGCTAGGGATAAGAAGATTCCCGTGAGTGGTCCCCTTCTTCTTCTTCTTCTTCTTCTTCAGCCTGTGTTCGTTCACTGCTGGACATAGGCCTCTTCCATTTGATTCCATCGATTTCTACTTTTGGCAATTCTCATCCACTGCTTGCCCGCGACTTGTTTGATATCGTCTGTCCACCTCTTCTGCGGTCTGCCTACTCCTCGCCTGTTCTCTCTTGGTCTCCAGTTTGTTAATTCTTTGTGTCCATTTTTCGGGATTATCTCGGGCAACGTGTCGGAACCCATTGCCACTTAAGCCTTGCAATACGTTCTGAGACATCAGTAATTTTTGTTCTTTCACGAATGACGTTATTTCGAATCCTGTCTCTCAAACTAATCCCTAGCATGGCCCTCTCCATTGCTCTTTGGGTTGTACTGGGCTGCTCTAAGGTTTTCTTTGTGAAGGCCATGGTCCTCCAGTCCATATGTAGTTACAGGCAAGATACATTTGTCATAAACTCTACGTTTTAGACACATTGGTATATCTTATTCTTCAAAATAAAGCTTAATTTGCCGAAAGCTCCCCAAGACAGTTGTATGCGTCTTTTTATTTCGGCTATAAGGTGGTCCCCTTATAAGAAGCAAAGCTGAACAATTTGCTATTAAAATGGAGAAAAACAATTTTAAGGCGAGTACAGG